CTCTCCCTCTCCCTCTCTCTCTCTCTCTCTCTCTCTCTCTCTCTCTCTCTCTGGTATGTTCTCATATATTAAGAAAACTAGGCCAAATGCATAAAAATATGCGTAATATTCCACAACCTGCGAGGATGTGCAAAGCCACTTGCTGGCGTGCAAGACTTTGAATAACACAACCACCACGACGTGACTTTGCACGTTATTTGCGATGTTCGTATATACTTGGGTTTAGGCGTGCGGTAAAATTTCTAAACGGTCCCTCCATCGAGTTCAGCGCGGGGGGCGGTGCTCTGTACGCCTTGTCGCCAAAGCGTGCGTTAAAGTCTACAGCAGCACTGGCCACCCTACCCCACCCCACCAAGCCACTTCTACCAACATTACGACATTAGACCGCACTTCCCATAAAGCAGCAGATCGACACGCCCATTTTCGCTACTTTTAAAAGCTGCTCACGCCGCGCTGAGCTGTTCGTAGTTGGCGCGCGCTCACACTCACGCACGCACAAACACACACTGTGTGTGTGTGTGTGTGCGGCCGGGCGGCGGGGCGAAGGCACCAGAATGGCTGCCATCAGAACGCCATCAGCCTGCTTGCCCCTTATTTATTAGGCAACTAATGAGCATGGGATATGCGGTCGCTCCGTGTGTGCGTGCGAGAGAGATCGAAAGCGAGGGAGAGGGAGAGAGTCAAGCAAGGCGCTCACACACGACACCGCATCTCTCGAGGGTATCAATATATTTTTTTATATTATCATTAGTATTATTTTGTTTTAAGAAGAGATGGTGTAACGTCAAGCAGACACACGAAATTAATGACAACCAAGAATGCGACGATGGCGCCCGGGGTGACACCGCATACATGGGACTCTTATCCACTGGACGGCCCCGGGTTGGCCAATGGCCACCACACTACGACGGCAGCAGGGGTCGTCCGAACGCCAGCATGCTCCGTTGCGGAACGGTTCCTCTGCGCGCATCGTCACAACAATCGGGATGACGAGCGCGTTTTATTGAATCATGTCGAACGGACGCGGCGGTAGCGAGCGAGGAGGAGGAGGGGAATGAGAGGGGGCTCACCGCTCGCCCGATAAATAATGGTCGGTAAAAGAGCCGCCACGCCACGCCCGGACTGCGCAGCGCGCGGCTCTCCGCGGGTTCGCTCCTTTCGCGAGTGAGGAGGGGCGTCGTCACACCGCGCCAGCCAACAAACACGCACCCACCGCGAGCGGGGAGGTTGGGGAGGAGAGGGGATGAGGGGGAGGCGGGGGAGGAGGGGGGCCGGAGAGGGGGTATGAAAAGGGGGAGGGGCGGGGGGCGGGTACCAGGGAACGGGTAGGGGAAACTGAAAAGGATTATTACACACAAACCTTCGCACTCCCGCGCACAAGATCAAATTCTTATGAAACACATCATTCTTTTCGTTTTCCATATCCGCGACTACGCGAGACAGAACATGCTCACTCCCTTGTGCTGGGGCAGCAAAAGCATCAGGTGCTTTTCGTTTACCGAATAATTACTCGGAACAATTAATTTAACACATTTCCAAGGCAGATTTGAACCGCACGTGTGTGGGTGTCTGTGCGTACTTGTGCGTGTGTGTGCGTGCTTGTGCGCGAGGGTGCGCGCGCTTGGCGTGTCGTTTGTGTTGGCCGTGCAGCCTTGGCTGGTGTTGGTTTCGTGCCCAGCCACCGAGACCCGCGCACCCACACTTGCACACGCCCGGGTGGTGCGAATGGCTTCCCTCGCCAAAGACAGTTTTGCACTCTTATCTCATTCCATTTTCCCTTCTCCGTCGGCTAATATCTGCCCTCGCGCCGTCGTGGACTTATACTTCTTGTTCGCGCGGCTCAACAGGTCGGCTAGCACCTTTGAACGAACCTGCTCGGCTGCTGCCGATGCAAACACCCCGTAATTTGGACCCGTGATTTACTCCCCATCTTGTTTGCTAGAAACAATTTTTTCCCTCTCTTTCTATTCTTTCTTGGTTCTGCTCTCCTCCCTTTACGCGATATGTTTATGAGCGGCGCGGAGCGAGTGGCGAAGCGTCTCCTTTAGCGGAGCGTAATCGGCCGCCCGTAAAAAGAGACACGGGGGCGAAGCAGGAGGGTTAGTGCAGAAGGGCCGCGGCACCCGGGCCTGGCATGGCACGGGCCTGCAGAACAACACACGAGTACCCACAATGCTCGAGAAGTTCTTGTCACAAAAACACACGCCCAGCACAGGCTGAAAATTCAACCTTAAAGAAGGTTTTCGAGAACTGAACAATAAATTCTCACGTTCCCTTTAAAACAATTATCTTAAGATGACCCCCAAAAGATAAAATACGATAAAATCGCAGAACAGGAAGTACGAATTTTGGGTAAAACACCGTCGTAATTCCACACATACTACAGCGTAATTTCGAGTACTCGGTACAAATTTTCTGATAGTAAATACTCCCTCGGCTTGTCGGCAGTGTTCCACGTTGAGCAGCCTGCACGCGGCGCGCGGGCTTCGCATAGGTTTTACCTAATGCATGCAGCAGGATCATAGTAAGGTCCACGCTGCACGCGCCCGCACTTCCCATGATAATGACGCCACCACCCAAGTCAGGACGGTGATTCCAAAGCAAAGAGCAGAAAAAAATCGAAAAAATTTCCATTTTGAAAAAATGCCAGGGTACGCGTTCCAGATGTAAGCAAAATGCTATCCGAAAAAAGAATTAGGGAGGTGGGAAAGCCAAGACATCACAGCCGTCGCACTGCAAATCTTAGTCAGATACCTTATACTTCCAAGAGAGCGACATCTAAGATCCCCAAATGCCTTGCTCTCTTGAGAAGAGATTTTCTTCGCTCCATTGGCGTCATTATTTAAGATTCATCCTCTACTGAGTGTGGTTCGCCGGGGCACTTAACTGCATTAAGATGAGGTCAAAAAACGCTATTAGAGGGAGAACATAACTAAACTAGGGCGGGACTAAATTTCCTAATTTTGATTGGACGAGGAAAACTATTCTCAATCCTCTCTAGCACGGAAACCCAATTGCATTCAATGGTTTGCTATACGCGCAACTTCAATTAAGGGATTACGATGGCTGTTTCGAACTGGGGCTATCCGGCTACGCGGCCAAGGAGAGCAGCCCTTCCAATACATTTTTCTTTTACTTTCCTCATCGTGTGTTCGGCGGCCCCTTCCGCATGTCCCTTGCACAGAATTTATTTTCTCTCCCCTCCCAACCCTTCCCTTTTCACGGCGGTATTCGACAGATATACGGGGGCTGTCGACGCGCAGCAACCTCTCATCGCTGCGGCGAAACAAATCATCCGGGGCGCTGTAAGACTAAAGATAACTCAGCGGCTCACCCGAGTCGCGTGACGCGCGCGGTGCATAAAATAGTCCTAATCGCATGAGTTATGGCGCGCAAGTTTAAATGTCTCCAATCCCAATATGCTACTGCCGCCGCCACGAATTCGAATCTCAATCTGCATTTTGCACACCGCGCGTCCGATGAGAAACAGTTACCACCACCGCGCGTCGGGCAGGCAGCCAACGGCTTCTGAACTAGAATATGCCGATACAGCAGAGAGGGCAACCGGTCGAGGGAGAGAGAGAGGAAAAAGTTCTGCGCCCATACCAGTGCCGCGCAGCCAAGCAGCTCAAATGTACATGTTTATGTTATGACTTGTTTCGACCGCAGCAAATCTGACGCTAATCAAAACGGCGTGGCGGTCAGTCTCTCACACCACATTGTCACCGAGGCACTAACAAGAATGTTATTGTAGTGTACTTTCAGGCAAACTTTTTTCGTTGTGACATTTTACTAATTGCCTTTGATGAAAACTTTAATACATACTAGACTGAATGAATGTTACGATGCCACTTTCGAGGTCAAATCGTTGCACAGTCTCTCAGGCGTCCGGTCAAAATACCACGCCCCAAACCTGGAACAGACAAAATAAAAAAGTGTCAAAGTAAAGGGAGTGCATCGAGAGGCTTATCTGGTTTCGCACCGGCCGCCGCACGGTCCCACGCCTCATCCCCGCCCGTTTTGCCAACACGGCGCACGGTAACGCCCCGCTTGGCACTCGTGCCAGCCAAACACACACGCCGCGCCCCGTAAGAGTAAAATGGGCAAACACACATCTCTCCGCGTCTCGTCCGCTACTCGCTCAAGTCCCCAGCACAAGTATCTCCCGGCTAAAGCCGTGCGGACGCGCCGCTCTGCCGCTGCCAAGACTCTTTGGAGAGTGCCGTACCAGAAAGTGGGAGCCCGGCCGTAAAGTCGCACTCCGGTCCGGAAAGCACTTCACCTTGACGTGCCAAAGCCGCTCTGGGCCAGTGCGGGCGCGGGGAGGGCGCGCCCAGCGCATAGTGGCCTGGTCGAGGGAGGACGCGAGAGCCGCGGGCCGCGGGGCAGTCGCAAGCGCCGAAGTAGTGTCGCCAGCTTAAGCTAGGAGCATACGGCACACGTTAGTATACACGTTTCGGAAGAAACGTTAAATAGAGGACTCGGGACTTCCCTTGGCAACGGAGGTGTGCTGTGAACCACAAATCATGAAATCAAAGGCTGACACATGTCTTACACATCGATTTTACGTGGAAGATGGATTTGTGCTAAGCTAAGCGTGACTGAAGCACCATCTACTACAATCAAGGGTGCGGTTTTAAAGCTTCTGCTTCTTGTCTGTTGCAGGTTCCACGCCGACCGGGTCCGCGTCGAGCGCGTCGAGCGGCTCGGGGTCTGCTTCGGCGCCGTCCGGGGCGGCGCTGGGCCCGCTGGCCGCGGGGTCGCCACTCGGGGGCGCTGCGGCGCTGCGCGACCTATGGGGCCAGGCGGCGGCGGCGGTAGGCTCAGCGGGAGCGCCCGGCGGCCCTGCAGCGCAGCACCTTCTCGGGCAGCAGAGACTGCTTGAGCTCAGCCGCTTCGGACTCAGCAGGCAGCTGGACCTGGCGCAGCACGTGCTCAGCCAGCAGGGCGCCGTCACCAAGCTCCTAGGTGAGTCCCAGCATGCTGCTCAGCAGGGCCACCACGGCCACCTGGCCTGGCGCACACCAGCACCCGGCGCCGGCGGCTGGCCCATCGGCATGCAGGCCGCGCGCCACCAATGAATAGCAATAAATTGCCAACGACAAAAACTTCCGCGTCAGTCACCGAGACCCCCGAAGTCGATCGGAGCGGCGGGAGAGGGGGGAGGGGGCCTCATCGGTCCGTTCCGTTCGTGGTAGCCCGGGGCGAAAGGGCCCCGCGCAGACCCGTGCGTGAGCGCAAGCGGGAGGGAGAGAGAGGGTAGGAAGAGAAAGAGGGACGACTCGGGTCCGGTGGCGTCTTGGGGGGGAGAAGGGCGGGTGAACGAGAGTGTACAAATGCCAGTCTATTCGTCGTCTCCCTTCAAACTCCGATGGTCCCGGAAGAGACAGACGACTGACCCCCTCCCCTCATCCCCCTTAAAAAAAGAGAAGAAAAGTTGGACAACAGGGAGGGAGGCAGGAGAAGGACGGAGAGCGGTCCCGGCGGCGGGTGCTCCGCCCGCGCACCTGCCTAAAGGTGGGTATGGGGTAGGCAACCCGTGGGGACGATCAGACGCGGAAAAAACCGTCCAGGCATTAATTTTATACCTTACTTCCCCCACTTCCTCTTAGTTCAAAAAAAAATATTTCGACTAGAGGGTGAGCGGCGGGTCGGGCTTCGGCCAGTTTGTCTAACTGACACACTCACAAAAACGAATCAGTCCAATATTTCTGGCATAAGTGCGAGACAGGGTGAGAGAGAGAGAGAGAGAGACTAAGTTGCGCCTCATTCAGATTCCCTCTGTGGTCCCTCGCGCACATTATGGGCAGTCCAATCAATTATCGGCAGCTGCTCGTGTCGATCCACCGATGAAGACGTCAGGTCACGTCGGTCCGTTTTGAGCGCCGCTCAGCGCCGCCCAGCGCCCCGCCCCCCGCGCGCCCCCGCGCAGCTATACGTGCCGACGCTCTCCGGCCGCGACAGGCTTCAGTTACGCCGGTCTTTTCTGATCCCATTTTTTTATTTGCCCCCTCTCTTCCCCTTTCAACATCAGACGCCGGTCAGATATTAAACGGAGACCAGACCGGGGGCGCTGTGGCGGCGACTTCAACGATACACACACATGTCAAGCGGTATCGACCGAGTCATAATAATTTGTCAGTGTGTCGGTGTGTGTCCGTGTGTGAGGGTGAGTTTGTGAGTGTGTGCGCGCCTTGTCTTTGTCATACCAAATAATGCCAGCGTGTTGTTTGCACTGCAGACGGGGCGTCACGACAGCCGTGTAATTAATGACATTTTCATAATTGTTCACGCAAATGGTGAGCGCTGCGCGCGCTGCCGCCGCACGCCCCTTGCTCCGCTGCTGCTCCGCGTGTGCTCCCCGCTCAGCAGCTAGCACGCGTTTCCCGGAAATCCTCGCGGGGAAACTCCCTCCTCTGCGCGCTGCATCACAATCATGATAATTATAACAATACTTAGGCGAATGAAATGCGGCCGAGGTGCGCGCGCCATCCGCGCCGCCCGTTCCAGTATGGCGAGTGTGTGGACAGGCGACAAGAAGGGGGCTGACCTGCGGCCAACGACGTTAGCTACATCCCCGCTTGTACGTACAGCCCTCATAGCTTATACGTATCGATATGTTCTCATCGAACAACAGACTGACCTTTTTTTTAAATGGCCCACCTATAGCCAAGAACTGGCCTTTCCATGCATCTCCTTTTGATTTAAATCGTCGCGAAAAGCTCGGCAGCATAAAACGCTCGACCTTCACAGAGGTGTTAGTTCACAGGGGTTTTTTTTAAGTGCATCAAACAATCGGGAGAATTTGCATCTCCGTGCGGTCAGTCGCCATCTCACACAGAACGGAGGCCAGCATCACGAAAAGGGGAAAATACAAGCTCTCGGACCAAGAAATGCAGGTTGGTAGGGGATGGTGGCAGTACACTGGGACCTGGCCTTCTGTGCGTGCAAAGGCCCCTCGCAAGGAAGGGAAGTAGAAGGGCACACTGCGGAAAGGCAAAGCGGAAGAGATCAAACCTATTTCCTTAAAACTAAAAAAAAATGCAGCTAAGAAGCAACAGCACTAGTACCAGAACGTGCCAAATTTTTTGAAACTATAACATTTAAAACGATAAAATATTTGGTGTGCAAAGACCAACGTAACTACCACACTTTGACAAGTGTTAAAAACATAGAAAAAGGAATTTGTGATTAGAATACGTACCCGTCTGTAGTCTAATACTCACGACTTTGAATGAAACATCCTCTGTAAAAAAAGTATTAGAAAACACAATAATTTGGGAGTAGAAACGCGGTGTAATTAATGTCATGGCGGTGTCTGCCGGCCATGTTCTCGAGTTGTAGTGCCCATGGGAAAGCCTTTTCTGCCGCGGCGGGGCGCGGTAGGGCGCGGCGGGGCGTGGCGTGCAGTGGAGGCGCGGGGCTGGCGGCGGGGCCGGCCGTGCACCCACCACCACGCTCTCTTCGCGCATGCAACTCGCGAGGCTCCGTATTAATCATACTCATCACTCGTGTAGTGGAGAGAGGGGGTTGAGGGAAGGGGAGAGGGCGTCCGCACATTTATAAACAAGGGGTGTGACCGAACACGTTGCACACCGACCGGCGCGCCCCACGGCCCTCCAAACTCACACAACTAACTCTGGTGAAAGGCGCTTGAACTGGCGCCTCCGGCAAAAGGGCAATTTTTATCCCCCGTCCAGATTCTCCCTGCTTCTCCGCTCCATCCGAAGTTTAAAGAAGAGAAAATTATATTGAAAAGAAAGGAATAACAAAAAATCCCGCTAACCATTCGTCAGGTGGCTGTCCCTTTTTTCCGCCCGACGGCACCCGCAGGCGGCGCCTGTATCTGGCGTCGTAGCCGGCGCATGTTACGCGGGTCTCGGACACGGCATCGCGTGAGCAGCGGCGACGACGGTGGCAAGCAGCTACCGGTCGGACCCCCGCCGGCGGCGGCGGCGGCCGTAGAGCCAATCCTCCGGGCCGGTAGCGGGGCCGGGCTGCGGCGGCCAAGGCGTCACCAAGCATTGTCACTCTCGTCATATTGAGATTCACGAAACTCGACACCCGGCCGGTCGCTGGGTCGAGCCCCATCAGCAGCGGAGGCCCCGGCACATTTCACACTCCTAGTCACCACCGCCGTAACTGGCGGCGGCGGGGCCCAGAGTTACGGGCCCGTCGCACTAGGACCATCACAGATCGAATGTCGTCCTCTGGCACCTCTTTCTCTCCTGCGCGCCCGCCCGCCCGACCCGCCATAGACATTCCACGACATCGCCCCCGCCCGCTACCCCCGCCCCCCCCCCTTTCGACGCCCGAGGGGGCAGGTGCGATGGGCAAGGAGCAGGACGATCATGACGACGACGACGTTGTCGTCCACCTTCACGTCGACCCCAAAACGTGGACGTCACGCGACATACACTGGGAAAACAAAAGGGTGACTTAACATCCTTTAAATGTTTTATAGTTTGAATGCCTTTGCAAAGGCACTAATCTATTTGAAGTATTTCTTTTTAATTAATTTTGGGGTTAATACCTTTGCAGAGGCATTAATTCATTTCTTATCTGTGGTGACACCCCTGTAAGATGTCAAGTCACAGGTTTGTTCTTCCCGGAGTACTGAGCGCGCCCCTTGTGTTGTGTTGCAGAATACCGGAGTGGGTGTGATGTTGCAGGCACGCTGCGGCCCCCGGGGCTCATCGGCGGCAGCAAGCCCAAGGTGGCCACCCCGACCGTCGTCTCCAAGATCGAGCAGTACAAGCGCGAGAACCCCACCATCTTCGCCTGGGAGATCCGGGAGAGGCTCATTTCAGAAGGTAAGGTGCAGCAGAATTCTCCACGCAACTCCGGCCTTCCTCCTCCCCTTCTTGTTCTTTGCATCGTCGCCTCCCGGACGGGACCGCGAGGGGTGACCACGTCAAAGCTTGATTACGAATTCATGATGTATAATTAAGCTTGCGTGCACAGGAAGCTCCATCTCGTGTGCCACCGAGAAAGTGTGCCGCAGTTCTAGTCGTAGGTCGAAAACTAAGGTTCTTCCGAAAACATTTGACGGGAAATAAGGATACTAATCTATATTTCAACTCGGCGCGGCAACGTGCACTTTTTTCCCGCGTTGACTTTGGCTCACTCCACGAGCACTGGTGTGAAGTCGACGCTCGACGATCATTCCGTGATAATTGTAACATTTAGTCGGGGCATGAGGCGAAAACAATATGATGGTATCAGTCATGTGCATCTGCAGCCGCCGTCGTCTCGAGCAAAAGAATAAGGGGAAAATGGGAGGGCAGAGACAGGGAGACGGGTGAGAGGGAGGGAGAGTGAGAAAGAGAGCGCGTGGATGTATGTGAGTGCGTGCAAGAGGGAGTAAGACAGAGAGGGAAGGACTGCCAGCAGCGCTGCGGTGGATCGATGTAGACATTGTGCTGCCGAGATGACCTGACCACCGTCACTGATCGATTTCTTCGACGCGGCAGCGCAGTAAAAAAAAATGGATGGACGGAATGTCAAGCGTGAGCAGTGAAAAAGTAATAACAATCCACTTAGCGGCCATGTCAAGGGCTGCAAGAGGGGTTGAGATGGGCGAACAGCATCGGTTTCTCTCTCTCTCTCTCTCAGATACACATACAGTGCAATCTGTTTCACTGTTAAAACCTGTTAAAACGAAAGCAAAATGTCAAATCCTCCGCAATTGCAAAGCATTTGCTTTGTAACTGCAAAGCATTGCTTCCCAATTGCAAAGGATTTTGCATTTTGCTTTGTAATGTTGTAACTGTGTTCCTACGAGAAGCCTAAACCACTGGTTACATCTTTTTTCACATGAGCGTCAAAACTCAGTCCAGCAGGCGACCCTTTACTCACGCCAGCCACTCTCTGCTTCTCTCTTTTTCTCTCGGACTAATTCGTTTCGCGGAAACCTTGGTGCCATGGCAGTGCGTTTGGGCGGCGGCCTGGCGGCGGCGGTGCGCAGTGCGCTGTGGAGTGCGCCCCATGCAGTCCGTCATTACCCAGTTAGCACGTGATAAAGCAGCACCTCACCTCCAGCAGGTGATTTCAAAGGAAAACAATGCCCCGTGAGCCGCGGTCCGGCCTGAACCGCCCAGCCCGAGGAGGCCGACACTGCTGCCGCTGCTTGTGGTGGTCGGATTCGAGTATATCGCCTCTCATATTTCAACAAGACTGTCTGCCGCAAGCCTTAAGTATGTCATCGCGCGTGTACCGAGGCTTAGGCCAGTCTGAAAATCACCTTGGGTAGCTGCAGCACCGGGTTTCTTCCCTATATAAGGTTATAGGCAGGCAAGCAGGCAGGCAGGCTGCTATTTGTCCAGGCAACAACGGCGGCGGCGGCGCGGTGGTGGCAGCAGCAGCACTTGGAGATATGGTTTATGTTTGACGTTTAAACTGAATCATTACACTTTCGCTGAAGCAAACAATTGCGCGCGGCGTGTTTTACGGTCGGGGTAATGTCTTAATACGCGAGGCGCCCGGTGAGCGCCCCAGCGCGAGGCTCGGCCGGCGCAGTGTGAGCTTCATACTTTGTAAGTCCCTTCCTTGTATTGACTATCCGGGCGCGGGGTTAAGTCGTAATCACTCACGTATGCCTTTTTTTTCGCTCTCCGCACACAATAACGTACAGTACGGTGTGGCGTATGTAGTTAGTTTGGCCTGCAGCCAATCCGTCCGCGCATAAAAATAATCACCATGGGCTGTTTAACGTAATCACATCTTTCAAAAGCTTTAAAAGTAAATACTTTTTTGAGCATTTCAAAAACTTAAAAGAAAAAACTGATACACCGTGCCTGGTTGGCATAAGTCATGTTGTTCTATAGCTGTAAGTTCAGTCAGACAAAAGGCGTCATCTTTAACTTGTTTTGATCGAGCTCATATTCCAGTAATTTATATTGCTCTTTACTGGATGACCCGCTGGTTTGTAAACTTCAAAGAAGTCAGAAAAGAAAAGCAGCGTGGAATAATCAATACAATTTTGAGACATTTTCATACTTTTTAAGGGGCAAAGTAGCCTTTTTTGTGGCTGTTGTGTGGGAAAAGACGAAGAGACCGGAAACGGCAGTGCAGTCGTCATATTCCCTGCGCGCAAATAACACCCCCGGTGCGTCGCTCGGGAGAGCTGCGGGGCGAGGGGAATATGGGTGTTCGCAGACTCGCACCTTGTTGGAACGCGGCGTGCGGATAGCAGCCAACCTCCGCTCCATTGAGCTCGAGCAAAATGGAGAAGGCGCTTGGGATTGCAGGGCTCGGGACGCAAATACACTGCCTGCTCCGCTGCTGCATGGTCGGGCGAGCAGCTTGTTTGGGGAAGGGCGCGGCCAAAGTGATTCGCAGCGAGGAACAAAGCGGGGTAATCAATGGCCCAGGAGAGGCTGTACTGTACAACAGTGCACGGGGTAAATATTTGTTTCCTTTAGAAGAGGCATTGCGTGATGTTGGAAGGGTGTTTAATGCATGTCTGGTCTGGCGCGGGTTAACACATTGTCTCACCTAATGGTCATTCACTGTTATACAATACAACATAATGTTCTTCTGTTTAAAATGTGAGGTGTACAAAGTGATTTTCCTATACTCACATCGAGTGAACAAACTACATCAAGTGTTTCACAAGTTAAAAACAGCTTAGTGTTCAGCATTGAAACGTTCGAACTTCAGCTCCCTTGCGTGACCCCTAATTTTGTCGCACCGGTTACGCACTGGTGTTTTCGGAAACAGCTTTAAAAAAGCAAAACTCTTAACGTGTCCGCCCCTATCAACATACCCCACTTCGCGGATAACAACCACCCGAACACACAAACAGATAGACGCGAAACTTTTTGATCGCTACGGCAATAGGCTTCGCTATGACTCAGCCAAAAAGATAGTTATAATTTTGTTTTTTGTATGACACTGTGAGAAATATATTTGTAAATGTACGATATATTTTGTAATTTGCCATTTACAATGCGAGTCGTACATGTACAACCTCCCACTGTCACTCGATATTCGATTCCAAGTCGATACATAGGGCTAGTAAATTGTACAATTTTAGATTGTACTTGTACGACTTCTTTCATGGAAAATTTTCCTGTACCGGTACGATAATTTTTCACAGTGGATAAGAATTTTTCTTTTTTGACTAATTTAAATGTATGTCATTATTTTTGACCTCCCACCACTTGATGTGCCTGAAGAAAACCGCGTTTAACATCTGTCGTTTAAGTACTATTGCCACCGTATTGTCACAGCCATGATGATATGAGTGAAAGAAGCAAACATTCCCAACTGTTGTAATAGGAGACGGACAAAGAAACAGCAGTGCTACGCTGGAAACAGTGAAACATTCTGTCTGATGCGGAAATAATTTGTCTGGCAATCACTTAGAGGGCTCGCCTTCTCGCGCAGCCTCCGTTTGTTCACACCTCAGCGTCCAGCTGCTGGACCAGCTCAGCGCCCATAACTCTGGGCGGGGCGGCGGCGCGCAGCGGACGCGTTTCCGAACGCAGCCACAAAACACACCGGTCATGAAATGAAGATCGACGTGCAGCGCCCCGGCAAGAATTAACGACCGGGGCTGCGTCCGCGCAGCGCCCCCTTTTGTCTCAGTCGCCGCTTTCGGAGCGCACCCACCGCCGGCGCGCGGCTCAGCAGAGCAACACAACGCTGCGCCGCCGTTTCGAACGAGGAAAATGTTCGCGCCGCGCGCGCCTCCGCGTCAGAACAGCGAACTTGAACAAGGCGGTCGGTGCGCCGCCGCGGACGGGACGGGGGTAGGCGCGAGCGGCGCAAGGGCGACAGGCGCCGTAAATCTCCTCGCGGCACAGACACACGGAAAAAAATATGTAAGTTCGCATAGCTGATATGTTTGCTGATATCGTGACAAGCAACTTTTAAGCTACGGTAGCTAAATAATTGACTCATGTGTGCAAGAATTAGCTAGGGCAGGTAATGCTTATCTGGATTAGGTTTAGTGCTCGTTCTGGTAGATTATCCCCAATCAACTGAAGCAGACATTGCATTTGCTCCTGCAGGTGAAGCATTAGCTCTCACAGCTGATACGTCGCTGTGACAGCAAACGTTTCGCTGTGGTAGCCAAAAAACTTGCTTGTCACGATATTAGCAAACATAAAAGCTAAGGCAGCTAACATTTAGTTGGCTTAACTTACTTATTTTTTTTCCGTGCACCCTGTTGAGAGTATGAAAATGTTTGCGGCGCGTTTTTTATAGAAAAATCAAAAGCAACAAAAAATCCCACCGCTGTCATGTTCCATAAGCAGCAGCAGCAGCAGCACCATGTAATTCGTCGTCGTGTGTATGACGGATAACCCTCGTAGACGCAAACATTATACAAGCAAGCAGGGTGGGGGGGAATGCCGTTCGGGCGGAGTATAGTGTGAACCGATAGCCGCGGTGAGCGATCCGCTCGACTCCGCTCGGCGGCCGTGTTATTACGGCCAGCGGCGACAATGTCTCTATTAGGCCGACGGGGAGGCTCGGCTCGGCGCCGCGGCCCGGCCTGGACCGGTATACGCACCGGGGCCACGCCAGGGCAACGCCAGGGCACTGGCCAACCCGGCATTACCTGATTTTTACGAGGTGCTCACTTGCTTCTCCCAGCCCCCCCCCTCTCTCTCCCTCTCTCTACAGGCCTTTACTTTTCTTTCTTGGCGCGCACCACCAACTTCTCCCCATTGCCTTCCCCCCTTCTTAGGTGATGCTGCTGGAGCTGGTGGAGGCAGCGGCGCTTTCCTTCCGTCCGTCTCACGCCTTTTGCCTCGCCTTTTGCTCTTTCGCACTCGCGCTTCAGAATGAATGGGGTAAGGCCCCC